GCTTTGTGCACACACAGTCTAATGTGCGTATTTGATGGGGTGACTCAACAAGAACCTCAAAGCTCAACTGATTCAAGGAGTTTGGTGGTGGTGGAAGAAGACAGAATAAGAGGCTTAAAAGATGGTGTTGGCATTGCAGCACATTAGGAAAAGGATGAGCCTCAGTGCATGGCTTGAAAAAAAAATCGTTAATGAATTCAAAAAATTAAATGCTTCAATTCAACATCGAAACCCACTCTGGTGAGATCCAATACTAGAGCGAGATCAAAGATTCTGCCGTTATTGTTTTGGAATGGCGCGTCACAATTCTCAGTATTGAGAAGGCGGCTACAAGTTCGATGTTAGCAAAGTAAACACGGTGAGACAATCTTTGCTGTATTTTTGTGTGTATAAAATGGAACCGGAAATGAGCAAGATGTTTATCTGCTTTACTGGTGCTGCAGCTTGCTTGAATTGATCTTTTCCATCTCACTTTTGCCTCATCAGCTGATTCATCTACTGGCCGGTGGTTACACAGTCAAGAAGGAAATAATCCGTGGATTTTTGTCAATCGTCCATCTGTCTCGCATCTGTGGTACTATTTTATACATCTAGGCTATAGTTTGCCTTTTGTCTGTATTCCTATTGCAGTGGAAGAGCACTGCACCTCTCCAGAGACTGTAAAACCTTTGCAGTGTCATGGAAGATTACAATTGCTCGAGAAACTACGAGGCTGTTTGAATGAAAAACTAAAAAGCAGATGATGTCATGCCTTTGATCATTTACTTAGATTTTAAAATTGAATCGTTCATCATTCATCACTTGAACTCAAATCGAAAGGGCATCATCAGCAAGTAAACCGAAACAATACCCGCAGGACCATTCAGACACCCTGTTTTCCGCAGCATTGCTTCTGAATAATAATCGTGAGAAAATGCATTGTAAAAGGTGCAAGCACAAAGAGTTGCACACAATACGCAAACATTCATCTACGCCATTCTCCCAGGCAGCAATTACATTACCTGGGAAAACATCATTGTGCATTTGACTGCAGCCTGATGATTTACAACGCAAACAAAACAGGATGAAGATTTTTCACAGAAAATGAATGAGCCAGACGGCCACGAACGGAATGACTCAAACCGCCTCGAACCCCGAAATGAAAAGCCATGACAAATGGAGGCAGGTGTGAAAATGATCTCGGTTAAAGTGCAGCAGAGTGAAAAGAGGGATGGTCTGAAATAATGATTATATTTGGCATGCAACACCATACTTGAAAACCTTCGTCCCTGACATTCTCTGCCATCACGTATCGTCATGCTGTATTGAGTTTCCATCCGTCCATTCTCTTCCGCTTATCTGAGGTTGGGTCGCAAAGACATTACCGTAAACAGGGAAGCCCAGCCTTCTTAAAAAGTGGGAATCACCACCCTGGTATGTCAATCCACAGACCCACAACATCCAAAACTTTCAGGAACTTCGGGGCGGTTTTCATCCACCCTGAGTTCCCTGCCAAGGAGGAGCTTTTTCACCACTTTACTGACCTCAACCCCAGAGAGAGGAGACCCCACTTCAGAGATGCCTGACTCAGCTTCCTCTTGGTAAGGTGTGGGAATTTCTTAGAATCTGTCCGAAAGTCCTCTTCCATGGCTAGAAGTCCTCCCACCCGTGTGTGTGTGTGTGTGTGTGTGTGTGTGTGTGTGTGTGTGTGTGTGTGTGTGTGTGTGTGTGTGTGTGTGTGTGTGTTTTGTGCTGTCCACTCCATGGACAGCCAAATCAGAGTCAGAGTGAAACCTCTTGAGCTGGGGCGGTGGGGACACTGCCTTGCTCAACAGCACCTCGCCAGTAGTGGAGAAGCAGACTAGCATTGCTCCAACAGCTAGTTGGCATTTTATATGCCATGGTATTCCAAATAAAGTCAATGTTCACACATGTTCATTGTTAGATTTTACTGGAGACACTTTATCGATACCCAAGTGTCGGAACGGAATTGAATTGTCAATCATTTTAACACAATCATACAACTCGGCATGAAGCCGCACTCCCTCTTGGGAGATGCTGAAGACACATCCCTTTCGTAGTGCAAACCTTTGACCACATCCGACAAAATGACCTATTTTTTTGAAAACTCCCAATCCCCCCGCACCACAATTTTTCATGCCGACCACAATAACATTTCATTTGTACGTCTTCAGAGGTGCCAATCCTTGCAATGTAAAGGGAGTCGTGAGAGGGAAGCCTGAGGTTTGTGGATTGATTGTGCACTTTTGACTCAAGGGGGATTTCAATTCCAATAAGTGTAGAATATGACTAGCATTGTCATCTGTTAATTTTCTAATTTACTCCCCACCGCCCCTCCCAAAAAGAAATGAGGCAGAGTATTCCCTCTGCCATTTCTTAATTAAGGTAAACAGAACAGAAAATGAACTCAACAGAAAAGGTTTTCATTCACTTAATGCCGTTTCTTGCATGGACTGGAAGACATTGCGGACAACGTACGGTGGATGGGTTGAGAGTGATTGAGATGATGGGGTCGGCCGATGCATTCAACCACCGTCTTTGAGTAAACCGCAGTGAAGGATGAGAGACAGACAGGGAGGTAAATCAGTGTAATGTTGTGGAAAAGCAAACACTTGAGTCATAAAGTCGTTTGTCAGAATGCTTCACAAAACAAGAGTAAAGGCTAATAGGAGTCAACGTAACGCTCAGTATAGTGGCGATATCGGTTGTGTCGTTGCCGTGCTACAAGCGTACATACATGTGTACACGCGGCAAATTCTGGTCGACAACATAATGAGAAAACACGGCGTGACCTTCACAACTGCAGCGAGGGAGGAAAAATAGCCGGGCACAGATTAATGGCCTCTGAAATAAACATGGAAGTCACAGGAAGTTGACACAATCCTCCGCGAACACAATGCTCATTTTCAGAGGTAAAGCAGGAAAACAATCACAAAAATACCACCTGTCAACATGACAGCGCCAGGATTTAGTGCAAATGCGCGGTGCGACAAGTGCCTTCGCATCAGCATCGATGGAATTTTTCAAAATGTTCAAAATAACGAGCATATGAAGTGGGGTGTTTTACTTTGTATTTTATCACCTTCACGGCCTCTTATTGTGCTAGAACAGTTGTCTGTTTTTCAATGCATAACATTCTCATTTTGACGTCGCGAAGCTGTGGGACTACTTCCTGCGCGTTTCTTGACAGGCTCTTCATGCTAGCACTTAGCATTTGTTGGCTAGCACGGACAGCCAGCTCATCGTTCTACATTTAACTGGTAAAACTAGTCATTCATTGACTCAACTCAAAATCGAAAGGCAGCTGAGCTTAAACAAAGTCTTTCAGGTGTGTATGAGCGTCCAATTGATATGTGTGTGTTCTTTGGCAGGAACCGGAGTCCCCAGAGAAGTGTCACTCAGCTACAACTTTGCGTTGTACCATAGTATATCATGGTGTAAGCATTGTATAAAACATCCTATTACAGTATAAACATTTTTTGCATGGTGTGCCCAAAATTGGATAACCAGTAGGACTTTCTTTTTAGAATATACACTTTTCTTCCAGCTACACCACATTATGTAAAAAAAAATATATATATACATATATATATTTTTAAATTGCGATATACCGTAATTCCCAGATTCTGACGTTTCTCAAAATTTATGCTCACTCTATCCCAATTGCGCCCCTTCAACATGAGCATTTATCTGTTATCAATCGCCAGACAGTTATGTTGATGCTCAGGAAGACACTGTGCCAGAAGTAGCAAAGCAGCCCCAGAACATAACTGAGCCTCCAAGTTTCAGAGTAGATACTGAATATTGTTTTTCTCCTTCACTTGTGCATTAGCAAACATACAGACAACGTGACTCGCCAAAAAGCTCATCTGCCAAACGTTTTGTGGCTTGTCTCCGTGCAGATGAGCAAATTCCATTCTTGTAACGCTTGACTGTGACTATTTTTTTTTTTTGCTTTCTTTCGTTCTTTCTTTCTTTCAAGGAAGGTCGGCAACAAATTGTCCATGATTATATGAGATAGCCATCCATATACAGTAGATCATATACAGGCATACACAAATACACACAACAAGAGTACATAGAAACCGGCCTGGCATGTGTGACTTGAGTCAGATGGAACATGAACACGTGACGCTACAGCAAGCGAATGTTCTGCTCCATATGTGCGCTCTCTCTCTCTCTCTCTCTCTCTCTCTCTCTCTCTCTCTCTCTCTCTCTCTCTCTCTCTCTCTCTCTCTCTCTCTCCACCCTCCAAGTGCTTTTCATTGAGCCATCTGGACATCATTGCTCTTTATTCCCTTCTTCATTTTCTCCCTACACCAATCCAGACTTCACGCATTCTTCTCCTTTCCTTTTTTTCCTGGTTTTTATGTATTTATAGCATGTGTAGCTCCCATTTGCAGTAAATTAGGGCTCCTTTGTTTTGCAGTTTGGTGCACATTTCAGTGCTGTGATTGGCGCATTTTATGTTGAATATGTAAAATGGTTAAGAAAAGAAAAACAGCCAGAAATTAGTGTTTCTTTCACATATCCTGTAACTCCAGATTTTACACATTGGGTGAAGTCTTAGCATAGTTTATCCTAAATAACTGAAATTCATTTCCATTTCTGTGTAACAATATAAAACGCATTACACTATAACATTATTTTTAATTAATTACCACTATATAATGTTGCACATGAAATAATAAATACAGTATATAATGCAAAAGGTTTTTTAAAAAATCACAGGTATTAGGAATTTTATTATCATGTACTAAAAGTACATGATAATAAAATTGCCTTGCAATTTAGTCTAACTCAGAAGTAAGTCACCTGGTTCATTAAAACCCTGTGTGGCTGCCTTTGTGTGCGTGTAAGTGAGTATATTTTTACCCACCCATCCATCCATCCATCCATCCATCCATTTTCTGAACCGCTTAATTCTCGCAACGGTCGCGGGGCATGTTGGAGCCTATCCCAGCCGTCTTCGGGCAGTGGGCAGGGGACACCCTGAACCGGTTGCCAACCAATCGCAGGGCAGGGCACACAGAGACGAACAACCATCCGCGCTCACACTCACACCTAGGGACAATTTTGAGTGTTCAATATAATATGGGAGGAATCCGGAGTCCCCGGAGAAAACGCACGTAGGCCCGGGGAGAACATGCAAACTCCACACAGGAGGGCCGGAGCCGGGATCGAACCCACGACCTCTGCACTGTGAGCCCTTTGAGACTCTTCTGTGATTAAGGGCGATACAAATAAGTTTGACTTGACTTTATGAAAAGTGACATAATATAGTGCTCCGGGCTTTATTCTGTTCAAACATAAAACATCCATCCATCTTCTATACTGCTTATCCTCACGAGGCTGATGGATGTGCTGGAGCGTATCCCAGCTGACTTGAGGCAAGTGGTGGGGAACAACCAGTCTGGTCGCCAGCCAATTGCATCTCGTAGAAGATAAAAAGATGAAACTACGGCGTTTTTCGACATCAAACAATGTACTGCAGCTTTGCTGATATTTATTTTCCGGATGATCGTATGTTGAACTTTATTTTCTGTGGTTGCAAAGATTCAATTGGTTTTTTTTTAATGATTGGCCTTTGGCATCCCTCTGTTCCCACCATCCCACCCACCATCGTCTTATTCTATGCCCTTTAGAGAGTGGTCAATTCGACAGCCTTGTTCCCTGTATTCCCGCATTCGCTTTCTGCAGCTCCTTTCAGCTCTTTTTATATCCTCCATCTTTACGTCTTTGCACTTTAGGCTGCACATGTCCAATACAGTAGCAGGGAGGTGGAGTCACTTAAAGCCTGCTTGTGATTGGTTGAAAAATGAGGCTACGACAGCATATGCACATTGCACTATTATTATTATTATTATTACTATTATTATTAAGGCAATGGTGTAGAGCCATTGAACTATCAATTCCATGGGCTGAAGCCATTGGGCACATCGCTCAGGCCTAGGTTCTATTGCACATAGACCAGTTTGTGTCGCATTGTCATTTTTTGTTATTGTTGGTGTAAAAAAAGAACAGAAGTAAAACTGATGATACTCATGCAGGTCAACAATCGATCTATAAATAATCGACATCGAGGATAGAGGCAGGTATTGCATTTCTGTCATAGTGTCTCCAAATGAATGATGACATGTTTGCAAATGTAACTGTTTATATATGAATTTCACTACTTCTCGCCCAAACTCAACCGAGAGAGGCTCCAGCTCACCGGTTATGAATGGATGGATTGATGCTAACGCACAAATAGGTGCATGATTCTCTTTCTGCCTCATACTCCAATTCTACGAATGTACGGTAGCTCGGAGGAGATGAGTAAAGTGATGGAAAGAAGAGCAACAGAAGAGGACATTGAAGCATCCTCCCTCCAGAAGGGCGCTCAAATGGAGAGAGGGAGCCCGACATAAGGGGAGGAAGAGGATGTGCGGGAATTGCAAGTGAGAAATGAAGAAGAGGGGAGGGGCCTGGACAGGGAAACACACTGTGCACGTGATCATTCTGTTCACATGGCCTCTTATTCTAGTGTTATCAATATTTAATGTGATGTGCTGCGTGCTACCCAAACCTTTACTCCAACACATTTGAGGGAATCAGCACAGTCTCAAATCGAATAGGGCACCCTACGACGCCTTGGCTGAGATGTCGGTTTTTAGAAGGCGGCTTAAGCTGTCATCATGCCTCTTCTGAGTCTCTATGTTATATAATGATGGATGTGCTATGTCGTCGCTCCTATATGCACTCCACTCTCGACTCTTCCAATGCGTGGGAATCAAATGTGCATACGGCGTGCCCTACATGTAACATACATGACTATTGTATGCTTGTCCCGTTCTGCAGTTATTTCCACATAATGTCAGCTTGATTGTGGAGCAGTTTTTTTTTTTTTAATCATACTATACATTGCTGGGAATGATGTGTGCTGCATTGGGCAGGAATTCATATGGACATGAAATACACAGATCTGCAACTTCCATCAGTCATGCAGGCACCCTCGCTGCCATCGAGCCCCTAATATAATAGTACCACTATTACAGACAGCCTCAAACACACGCCCACGTATTCAAGGCAAGCCCCGTGAATCGCGCGCGCGCACACTCACACACACGCGACACGAGAATCACGTGTCCATCACCTCGAGAATAAAACAACTACACGAAGCATAATTTTTGTGACTGACGTGCACGAATGCTGCATTCGGCGGGAGACCACAAACACGGAGGTTCGCCTTTGCGTGCGCGTGAGTCAGTGCGGTTGTGTACACGCGCGAGCGCGGGCGCGTTTTTCTGCAGCTCGTCACGCCAAGTCCGTGCTACGCACCACGCAAGAGGGGAAATACTATCATCGCTGCACATGACACTGCGATTGCAATCGCTTTCATTCAGTGTCAAATGAATGGTTTTAAAGTGTTTTTTTTTTCTTTTTCATTGGAGGTGGGGTGGCAGGTAGTTTCGCCGTGACTCTCACGCTACGCAAAAGGATATCCTGCTCACGCAACCTTACAATTACAATGTGCATTCTTCGCTAGTCCCAAAACACACGCCAGGGCACCTATTTAGCCGAACCGCTGGCCATACCTCGTCATCCCCATCCCGGGGCCTCCGACTCCCATCCCTCCGCCGGCAGCCGAGCCGTTGACGGGTTTCACGTGCTGTCCTCCCGGCCCTGCGGTCGCGGGTCCTCCGGGCATCACGGAGCCCATCATCCCGGCCTCTCCGGGCTGCCCGCCGCCCTCCATGCTCGCCTCGTTCCCCATCTCGGTCTCGGCTCAGGAGACACGAGGGCGGTGAAGATCGTTACGGCGTCCGAACGGTCCGAACCGCCTCTGCTTATATGTCGCAAGGGTGCCCTTTTATTTGATGTGGTCCAAACTGGAAATTGGATGGGGGTATAAAAAAGGGGGGGAAGAGAGAAGAGGAAGAGCGAACTCAGCCTTGCTCCTGTATCACCGCCATCGTCTTCATCCTCCTCCCCGTCAGCCTCAGCACCAGTAGGCTGGGTTCTGACGTTGTGACGGGAGCGCGCTCGGCCGTTCAGGCAGAAGCGGAATAAAACCAACAGGCGGCGTAGAAGCGCGCGATTGGACTGGAATTACAAGTTACAGTTCAAGAGAAGTGCCTGTATAGGCTACTCGGTGAACACTTCGAGTCACACTGTGTTCTTGAGAATAAGCGCAGATAAGTGTAAAGGAAGAAAGAAAGAAAGAAAGAAAGAAAGAAAGAAAGAAAGAAAGAAAGAAAGAAAGAAAGAAAGAAAGAAAGAAAAAAAGAAAGAAAGAAATGATCTTGAGTTTTCCACCCATGACACTTTCAGGTGGCAGCCAAAAGTGATGAAAGCAAGACACTTTATTCAGAGACACGCAGACTGTTTTGAATTTTGAAAAAAAAAAATGCATCCAATGTCTCCTCCGAGGCTTCAAAATGTCAGGGTCAGATCTTCAATTCATCCAGTAGTGAAAGAACTGATCATTGTGGAATTGAGCATGCGCTTTAGTCGAGTCAATCACTTGGACGTGATGGACTCATTGACCCGCCCGCGGGGGCCGATTACTTAAAGAGATTAAAAATGAGCAACGTGCCAGCCTTCCACTTCACTCTGAGTAACATAAAACACTATTGGTCAACTGTAAATACCTAATTGAATGACTGATGGGCCGCAGAGACCTCATCAGCACTTTCACTGGTCAAGTCCTTTCCTTTGACCTTAGTTGATCTCCACAAACGAGCGGCAGAAGATGCGACAATTCCAATTTTCGCTCTTTGTTCATGAAATCACAAGAGTCCTTTTTCAAACTTTGAAGTGCATCGAAATGGCGTGCTCTTTGCAAGTGAATGTAAAGTTAAGAAAATGGCTCCGTTCCCATGGCAATGCAAGGAAAAAACATTTCAAACGAGAAATCATGATAACCGAAATACCAGAACATCATTTTAACCTTTATTTAATTCTCTTTGCATGTCGACCTTCTCTATACATCATAATGAAGTTGACATTTAATGAACAATAGATCTTATTTAACCAGTGGCTGCATAGGAAACCTAGAACCCCCCTCGCTCCCCCAAAAATGTGTCAGCCTTTTTATCCTTCAAACAGGACCTCACAAAGGAGTTAATCTCCAGTGTTTCACCACCAAAATGCAAAATTAATTACCGCAATGAGATGTGAGAGATTCTGTTCTTGTCGGCATTGTGTCCAGGCCGCAGAGGAGCGCCTTTGCTGGCAGCAGCAGAGGGAAGGTGGTTTCTTATGAAAACTTCACGCTTATTGACACGGTTGGAAGAAAATGCGGGGAGCGCTATGAGATGGAAGGAGAGAGAATTTTTTCAAAAACAAACTGAGGCAGAGGAACCGCGACTTAAAAATATGTACCTGTACAGGGATAAAAGTTCGGGCGAATGAAAATAATGCCATAGAGCCTCGGTGTCAAACTCAAGGCCTGGGGGCCAGATCTGGCCCGGTCTATCATTTTGTGTGGCCCGCGAGAGCAAATCAAGCATGTCAACTTTTCCATGATGCTTACTCAAGTCTGAACCAAAATTTCAAATTGTCAGATTTAATCCATCGTAACATAGAGATATTGCAAGCATTATCTCGTCACGTACTGATTATATGAACATAAACAATGGCTGAACAAACCATTATTCATGACTTCTGATTTCAAAGCTAGTTATCCACCAATTTGTTGTGCATTGTATACTTAACATGTGGAGGTGATTAAACATTTATACGGTCATAATCGCCCGCTCAGAGAAACCGTAACAACAATGTGGCCCGCGATAAAAATGAGTTTGATTATTTGTGATATTATTGGTCAGTGTGGTGAAACTTGGAGAGCCAACAATTTTTTAGGTTGAGCCAAATGATGACAAGCTCTAGAAAAGATGGATGGAATCAAAAAATGTATTTTCACCACATAGTTGAAATTAATTAAAGTGCAGTGTTTATGCAACATATTTGTATTATTTCAACCATGGTTGTTTTTTTTTATTTATTTATTTTTTTTTTTAGCATAGCTGACTATTAAAGAAATAAATAAAATGGCATCAGTGTTCTGCATCGCTTGAATAGAGGCGACTGGACTTGTTGGTTGTTTCGGGCTTCTTAAATTCTAAATTTTAAATGTAGATACTCTTGTGGGTGTGTCTCCTGGAATTGTTCCAAAACCAACAAGTCCAGTGGCCCATGTTCAACTCAAATTAGCATTGGCTGGTCCAAGGTGGTCCAGTTGGAATTCAGTTCAAAACTACCATTTCCAACAAAACGTTGACTTCTCCCGTATCAAACAAGCACTGGTTCCACATTTAAACACTCCCTCACTCAACCATGCTTGGTAACCACGACTTGGTCTCATTATTTTCATTCTTGTCAAAAAAACGATGGTGTTTTTTCTCATTTTATAGCTCTCTGAATTCTTGTCAGGGAATGACTCCCATGACCCAGATCAGTCAATGTTTCACTGAAGCGGCACTGAAGAACTAATAAGGACAAGATAGAGCAACAAGAGATTGTGTCATGTTACCATAAAGCTCAGCCTGCCATTATGCTGTCTTTCCATCTCTGCATCTCAAGGATGAAAGAGTGAACCTATACCAGAAACAACTGTAGAGAATGTCCAACAAGAACAGCTTTAACGCCGAATCTTTCGATTTCAGTGTGCTCAGGCCATGTTTACATTTTGAACAGGAATGAAGATTTTCAAATTTGTTTGGTCGGAAATTAATCAAGTACAGCAATCACGACAACACACATTTCCATACAAGGACTGAAAGCACATACCTTTCATTTGCAAGCACATACCTTTCATTTGAAATCTTGATCAAGAAATAACAATAATTATGCTTCACTAGATTGTGTAGAAATGTAAATTATTTTCTGTAATTATATCATGAATGACAACCTAGGACCGAGAGCACGTAACACTTTGATGCAGGATTTGAATCATTCTGCGGAATTAGACGCGGCCCACAATGTGAAATGAGTTTGACACCCCTGAGCTAGAAAGATTGTATGTAGCCTTTCAGGATGATTGGCTCCATCTCCTGGACAAACTTAGTCTACACAGTTTACAGTGGAGTCATTTCATGTCCCTTGCATTTGAAATTCATTGAGTCATCTAAAGTCGGTGCATGTTCAGGATCCAGGATGAGTGCATGTTAGGTGCACTTAAGCCTAGCATGTATTTTAAAAAAATCATGATCGGGTTAATCATACAGTATGTGCTTAAAGTGATGAATGAAGCATTTTGTTGGAGGGCAGCATTGCTGTGAACAAAACGTTGGCGTCTCTGCATTGTTCACTTGGGACTTTTAAATGTTTCCTTTAGCTATCGCAAAATGGATAAAGGCAGACATAAAGAATGAGGAAAAACAGAAGCCAGCCAAAACTTGAACACTTTCAATTTCCTGAGCAGCCAGTGGCGTCCATCTCCGCAGATATCTAATCAATAACACAGCGTTCACATTGGAAAGCATCCATACTTAATCTGCTTTGTCATTTAATGCTATTTTCTGCTCCCGAGCGTCTGCTCGCAGGCCGACTCTGACATAAATCTATTGGTTCAGATGTGGTGCTTCGATAGCGAGTTGAACATCAGAAATGAATGAAGAAAGAATAACCGAGATAGTTGGGAGAAAAGTCGAGAGTGGAGCTGCCGATGGCAAATCAACTGCAACAAAAGAGAGAACAACAATTATATATCAATTTGTTGAGAATGCGTAGTGTGTACAGTATAGGGAGACAATTGGAATGGGATCATGAATACATGAAAGTAGGCCTACAGGACAAGAATCAGGTGGAAAATGGCAGCAACAGAACCTCAAATGGTCATCAGTCGGTCACAGGCCACATAAACAAACACGTATCCACAGTCACATTCACACTGATGGACAATTTAGAGTCTACAATTGTGTTTTAAAGATGTGGGAGGAAGTCAGAACACCCGAAGAAAACCCAAAGGGACAGGGACAACAAGCAAATTCCACGCAGTGTGGGCCGAGCCAAAATTGCAGAATGTGAGGCAGCTGCAGCAGCAACGTGATGGGGAAACAATCAGTATGTACGTATAACTGCTGTGGAGGTTAGCTTATTCGATGTAGATATTTTGTAATTGAGAAAAAAAAGTATACACCCAATTGTAAAAATTATGAACCTCAAAACAAAAATCAACAATGTGTCCTTGGGCTGTCTGCTTAAATTTTACGATTCACCGTTATGTAAATAACCGCAAATCTGGACCACTAGATGGCAATGTAGGAAAGCTAAAGACAGTAAGTGTGGAAGAACAAAAGTCTGACAGCTGGTTGTTCCATTACAGTATTTTCGGTTCAAGCGCAGTACGGTACCGTACTATATTTGTTTACTGTCGAGTTTCTTGCAGTACACTGCAGTGCCAGTAATCGCATTCCAATGATGTCGTTTTTTTTTATCTTGAGCTGATTCACAAATGTTGCACCTACAAGACTATGAAGAAAATTACACACACGACACAGAATAACATTTAAACTATCCATCCATCTGTTATCTGATCCACTTGTTCCCACAAAGGTCGCGGGCGTGCTGGATCGTATCCCAGCTGTCTTAGGGTACACCCTGAACTGGTTGCCAGCCAATCGCAGGGCACACATCGATCAACAACCATTCGTGCTTACAATCACCCACTCATGTCATGTCCAAGGTTCCCCTGGACTGGGACACAAGAGTGTAAATGCTTTCTCCTATAGAGGATAGTATAAGTAGTAGTATTTCAGATTAAGTCGCTGATGGTGTCGTGGTACACTTGCCTGATTTGCGTGAAGGCAGTGTGGGATCAGTTATCACTCAATGACGGCGTGGATGTGACTGTAAATGGTTGTTTCTCTCTATATGTGTCCTGTATGGCAAGCCATTTGAACATTTATTCCACATCAGTGATATCAGACATTAGTGTATTTCACTAGTTTGGTCTGTGTCAGCACTAGTTGGATATTCAGCCACACGAGTTATGCACTTTCTCGTACTAGCTGCATGAAAACGCTCACGAGTCACTCATTTTCGGCAACTAGTGCCACTTTTGTCCAACTAGTGCTGACAAAATTCTAACTAGTGACACCTGGAAGCACATTAGCAGTGGCAACTTCATAACTAGTCAGCTTTTTGATGGCCTCGTGGCCCACTGGACCAAACTAGTGAGGTTCAGAGTCTTAGCAGTTCACTAGTAAGATTAAAAAAAGTGTTAACGCGTTAACTAGTGCACGATGATGTCCTGCACTAGTTAACTAGTGAGAGCTGAAATATGTACTAGTTAACTAGTGGTGGATAAAACTAGTTAACTAGTTTAAGACCCTTAAAGCATTGATATCTAACTAGCAGGTCAAAAAAATTACTTGTTAACCAGTGATACCCCAAATATCCACGAGTTCCACTAGTGCGACATTTTGACTTCACAAGTGGTGACCAGTTCATTTTGAAGTCTGCCTTCTGCCCAAAGTCAGCTGAGATAAGCTCCAGCGACTCCCCGTGACCCTGTTCAGGAGAAGTGGTGTTGGAAATGGATGCATTGATATTTAGATTATTTTAAATATTACTCTTACCTTCCCATGAGGAATTTGCAATGTCCTACCCATGCTTGCTCGGGTTTCGACTGGGTAGCTGTTGGGCTCCCACTCGCATTCAAAAATATACATTTTAGATTCACTGAATTAGCTGACCAGTCCAGGAAGTACCCCAACCTCTGACCTAACGTCAGCTGGGATAGCACCCATACGCACACGCACGCGATTGTAAATCAGAACGATGATGAGACGCAGTCCAGAATACAACAAATGTGCACATTCGACCAATAAGAGTAACGGAAGCATGTCGCCATGGAGCTTCAGCGCTGGTCTTCGGTTGCTCGTGCACTTCCGGAACTTTCGTCCCGGTGATTGAGTGCAGGGCAGGGAGGACGAGGGCTGCCCTGCCTCCTCTGGTAACAACAAAGTGATGAATGACTGAAATCCCACAAGCCTCCGAGCCCTGCATGTCGTTACACTTGCACGCCCGTCTTTGTTTGCTTGTCTTTTGTTTGGAGCTGAATTGCAGCAGACCGGCAGCGGGAGGGCAGGTGAGAGACGTTTGCCCGTTTGCAAGCACTTCTATTCGGCTTGTTTTGTGTGCGCGTGGTCGTGTGTGTGGACTGGAGGGTCCTTTTAGATTGCAGACAAAGTAGCGGCTGCAACCTCGGCGCCCTCGGTCAGCAATTTTGCAGATTTCCCTGTAGGTTATGAAACAAGCGACCGCGCTGCTTTTCCCTTTTTTTTTCTGTGTGTGGCTTTTTTTAATAACAAGCTTGTGCGTGCGCCGTTTTTATCGCCACCCAACTGTCTGTCTGCCAGGTTACCTAACAGGCTCCTGAGGGCCCAACAAAATGAGCTACACGTCTCGGTTCTAGCCCTCATGTTGCTATGAATCGTATTAAATGGACTTTTACCCGGCTCGACTTGAATGCGATTCAAACTTTTTATGCATGGAGCCGACTGAGTGCTTTATTCAGTTGGCAGAGCAAACAAACATTGGAGAATGAGTACTTTGCAGTTTCTTGGCTATGCCTTGACTGTTAAGTTGAAGACAAACCTTATGCTGTGTGATTCTGCAATTTCATCATGGATAATGTATGTAGAGGGCAGCATGGGGGCACTAGTTGTTTTGTGGGTATGCCTCAATATTCTGAAGTTTGGGGTTTCAGTCTTTGCTCCAACATTCTGGGATGAAGGTTGCGTGTTTCCCCCCTGTGCTTGCATGGGATTCCTTTGGGTTTAAAGACTAAATCGAGCGGAGAAAATAGGGGCTGTTTTATTTTCAAATGTATTGATCTCATTAAATAACCAGTTAATTGCTTAGCATATTGTAAATAATAAAAAATAAAAACCTGTGTATACAGTACAGTCAAACTTTGGCTCATGAACGCCTTGTTGTGTGAACAAAATTTTTGAGGAAACATTTCATTCACACTTTTTATACCGTGGTTTCCAAATAGCCTTGACACGTACATGGAATTCTCAGATGTGGGTTTTTTTGTTTTTTTTTGTGCTTGATGTGCACGATACGTAATCTTGGTTTTCTTTTGCTCTAAATTAGCCTTCAGTGTGGCTCCCAATAATCCTGAACATGGCTGGCAATACTGTTATTAAGAAGTTTTATTGTTGAGAGATAAAAAAAAAGAATAGCGATGCATGAGAATGGTGCTTGTGTTTTACAATCACACTGTGCACTTTGGTTTGGCGAAATGTGCGCTCTGTACTTTTCTAAGAGTGGGATGCAGCTTTACTCAATGTCCAGGCATGAGTAGTCAGCTTTTGCTCCTTCCATTACACGAATGACAAAAGCAAAGAGGCAAGAAAAACAGCTTTTTGGTGAGCGCCACAGTGAGCACACCAGGATGTGAAGTTTAACAGCCTTATTGCTTATGACAGTGGCAAACCTAATTTTGGCCTTGGGCTTGAATCAAATCAATAATATTTCATTCATTCACTTCAGCTTTGCAAACAGAGTGTGGTTAAAATTCAGATCCAACAAGTTGTGGGAAAACTACTGAAAAAAAAACAGTTAACTTTGTGTGAGTACTTCAATTTTTGCTTTTATTGTAAAACGTTTGAAAGTTTACCAAAACCACTGATTTATATAGCATGCCAGTTTTTTGGCAACCTTCCACTGGGCTAGACCCCCTACAGTCTTTGTCGAAAATAAATTTGGTTTTAAGCGCTGAATAAATGACATGTTCCGGGGGCATCTCACCTCTTCCTCAATCATTCTAATTGAATGTGATCCAGTTAAAAAGCTCAGCGGGTGGCTGACTCCAGGAAGAGAATGCCAACAGTTGAACATGACTGATGGAAGAAAGGATGACAGGGATGGGCTGCAGCTGACTTTGGGTGGGATTTCATTGGCACAGTGACATGTAGCAGATTCGTGAAGCTGAATGATGGAGGTGCTGCTTCATTTCCATCAAGGCAGGTCATGTGATGTTGAACAGAAAGAAGCATGGTGACGTCAAATCTTAGAGTGTGAAAATAAAGCAACGGATTAAGAAAAGCACAGTTGTAGGCAGGAACCAATTATTTGTCGGACCTATGTCTCATGTAAAACATCGAGAGGGAAGGGATGGATGCTGATTGGTATATTTTCAGATTTAACAACTGAGCTTTTTGTCCTGGACCAGAGGAGAGTTGTGCTGACCTCCACTCCTCATCACTTACCTAAATTTCTGGACTACGGCACATGATTAAAAGTCGCAACAGCTAAATTTCACTATAAAAAAAAAAAAAACATGTGTCCACACATTGACCCTTTGTATTAATAGCTGCAGCCTGCGGGCCTCCACGTTATAACATGGGAAATTGGCAAAGAAGAAGGTCCCAGATGGATATTACAAAACATTTAACTTAACCTTTCTAAGTCACTCTTGTCACATGAGGCAAATTCGCCAACAAGCTTCACCACACAGCAGTGCAGCGTTTGGAAACCTGTTTGTTACGTGTTGGGGAGACGCAGGGCATGCACAGACTTGGCTGTATTTATGGCACTCATTCCCTCCGATCCTTAAACTCTGCTCAAGATTTTTTTTTTCGACGCATGAGCTGCAAATGCCTGATGAATATTCAGTACGAGTGCGGACAGTTTCTTTGGTCCACTGTGACGTGTTTGGTAATCTCGTTGGTCAGATGCGACGAGACTATGGGTAAATCTATTGGCGGCTTGAAGCTTGTCAGTCAAAATTCATAAATAAACTGCGTCACATTAAAAGCTGTAGGGTTCAAAGAGTGGAACAAGTAGCGGTTTATAGTCCAGAAAATACAGCGGTCGTCCCAGGAAATAATGTGGGATTGGATGGGACACTTTGTGCCTGAGCATCCATGGGTATGGTTGAGTCAACCGTGACAAGAATAGCTGGGATTTTTTTCCTGGTTAATGATTCCTGTAATTTTAGTTCTGGTTGGTTGGTCTTCTGGTTCCAGTTCCATTTGCTGGATTTCTCATTCTCATTCCAGTAAATTGGGGTGTTTTTGTATGCTTACCGATTTGTGTAATGTATGTCTTGTCTACGTTATTTTAAACATGAATTACAGCGTTTTTCTTTGGTATCAGCATTTTTACAAAATATTTTATGGTGGTTCCCTTTATAGACAGAAACAAATTAGATAAGTAGCCAACACACATGCAGACTCTGCATCTTTCAGACTTGGTGAAGAATGAGCTGAGCCGAAAGGCGAAGCTCTCAATTTACCAGTCGATCGACGTTCTTAGCCTCCCTTATGGTCACGAGGTGTGGGTCGCGACCAGAAGAACACAATTCCCGGTTACAAGCGGCCAAAATGAGTTTCTTCCACTGGTTGTCCGAGCTCTCCCTTAGAGTGAGAAGCTCGGTCATCGGAGAGGAACTCAGAGTCGAGCTGTTCCTCCGCGTTGAGAGGAGAGAGTGATTTTTACACCCCCTGATCAGCTCAGGAAACAGTCCGGCCAACAGTCGAGAGTGTTAAACCGCTAAATTATTTCAACTTGAAAAATCCTTGTGTGCAGTCAACACAGTTCAGTCAAGCTACAAACGCTGTGACTGTGGCACGAGTGGTAACGATAGCCAATTTACAAGGCAACCGAAGCTTGGACAGTTGCCAGACACAAATAGAGGAATTACTGGTTGTGGTGAATGTTTGTATAACTTGTCACTCAAGTCATTCACCACACACAAAGTCAATCGTATCGCAGCGCTACACTATCATATACATCTGGTTATGTTCAGCGTAAATGATCAGTGCAAAGGGTAAAGTTGGCAGCATTTGGGTTAAAAAGAGGTACAGAGTTGATTGAATTATCATGCAAAGTGTTTTTTTGGCATGAAAGGGAAGATCTGAGCAGTGAGGAGCAAAGTTGCTAGACCGGGAAATTAAAGAGTGCCATTAGTTAAGGTAAGATGAATTAACACACCATTGACGCCTTGATTTTATTTTCACACCAAGCTTTTTTTTTTTTTTTTTTGCAGCGACTTACATGGAGGAACAATGTATAAACGTTCCTTGGACGATGTCATCTTCATTATAAATTCAATTTAAAGAAGAAACAAAAACATCTCAACTTCTTTGAAGGTTTTCTTGTATTAGAAGGAAGTCACTTTTTTCCTCTGTTATTTTATCCTCTCCTTTTCTTCATATTGACTCTTTCACTCAGACGATTGTGTTTTTTTTTCTTCTTTTTTTGCCCAGATTTTTTTGAGTGGCAACAGGAAGGATCAGCTGCTCCTTCTATGGCTTAATAAACACCTATAGGAGACCCTTCCCCTACTTGTGTCCCCTTACAACCCCCAGGCAACCTCCATGAACCCCCCACAATCAGTAGCGATTGGCTGGAGGGCTGCCAGAAGAGTCCAATCAGAGGATCTTACTTCAATGATTTCCCAGCCCTCCCCCACTGCGGAATGGCCTCGTGTTTGTCTTGGAGTGCATGACTTTACCTGCCGCTCATTGTCATCTTTCACAATGCAGTTTTTTGAATTGAAAATCAACACAACGCGTTGAACTCCTTTTATGCATGATAACCAAAAGACAATTTATAATGCATTGGCCTCTCTGCTGTAAATAAAGGGACATTTCTATAGGTTAAGGGAAATGGAACCATTTGTTGACTTTGCCACATAAACGGGGCATTTGTGTGGATTAGAAGACGCCTGGGTTAAAAATACCCTCTGAAGCAAGTCGATGCAGGTCAGCGTTTTTTCACTGATCCAGGTCACGTGTGTGCATGTGCGTGTCCGCGTGCATGTGCGTATGTTCCTCACTCTTTAATGCAGGTTAATCCGACATGAATGTGTACGTCTTTGCAGGTTCAAAGGTAAAAGTATTTAAAGGGCTGCCGGTGTTTTCAAAATAGACACAGCAGGCGGTGGGTTTATTCATATTTTCTAGGTCAGGTACTTTTAGTGTGGCTTTGGACAAATATGTTGACACAATACATAGTAAAAAAAAAACTTAATGTAATATTGGATAATGCAGTTATTTTACAACAGTTTGGTTTGCTTATGTACTCCATTTCCTACCCTAACTTAAAAATAACAAACATTTTATTGTTTTTATA